TTGCCCTACATATAATTATTTTAGCTGTAAACAAAATATATTATACAAAAGTTGTTTGAAAGATAACAACAATGTAAGCTAATCAGTAAAAATGTTTGATGGTATTTTTATTGTTTATTTTTAAAACATTTGCTTTTGTTCTCTGTAAACGACGACGAGACGCTATAATATTAAAAATGTGCGTATTAAAGTCAGCGTCTACACCGATTATATTATACAGTCCCAGGACGATATTAATCTGCACAAAAAATCAAGCGATATAGTAAAGCTTAGTATAATAGTGTGGTGGGTGATCGATATTAGTTGCGTATTCCATATAAATGAATATAATATATAACATATATTACACAAATATATTTTAAATATATTTTTGATTATTTAAGAAAAGAATACGCACCCAATGCAATATAATCGAATTTTTTAATCTGGCGGACTCGTGGCACGCATGAATAATAAGCGATGGCACGTGGACAAATATGTGTTTTGTATATAACATATTGTATAGGTATACAACAATAATATTATGATTATTAACTTTTCCTATTTATTCATCGACGGAGTATTATCGATTTTTTTTGTCCCTTTGCCCGGGGCGCAACGGCAAAAGAGGGACATTTTTTTTGGCTCAACGATTTTTACGATGTTACAAAGTTATTCTGGTGTGCTCTACTCTATTCAGCTAAAAGTGGGTGGTAGACGGACGTTTTGATTAATGTGCGCTTCAAACTGAAAATGTGTGCGAGCGTTCAGTGGTTACCAAAAACGGGAAAAAATATATGCGTATAGACACCTAGGTATATAATAATATAAAGAACTGTTATACGACGTCGACCCCGCTGCGACTTTCACCGCGACGATGGTGATTGCCGGCGTGCACAAGTGACGACCGTTAGTCGGTCGGTGATGTTAATTATTGCTCGAATCTCACCAGTGCACTGCACTGCGGACCACTCACCGTGACGTTGTCACTTGTGTACGTAGGCACACATAAGGTCCCTATCGTAATGCACACGTTAAGCTATATAATCCAACCAGTACAGCTCTTACCACCAGCCACAACCCTCTTTATCGGAAAAGTCAAGCTGTCGATTGCAATGATATATGTATTACACACATCACGTCTAATTAATAATAATTAATATTATTTGTCCAATCAATATGTATATTATAGCGCACTGCTGCAGCCAGACCTAAGTATGGAGGATACATGATAATGTATACTTGATAATATAGATACCGTTTTTTTACACGAAAAAGTCAAAAGTTCGGGTAAAACCATATTAAATTCGGTTCTAGATAAAGGAATATTTTATTTTATTTCGAACGAACAGCTGTAACCCTTAATAAATCTACGGTGATAATATGCGTCGACACTTCAAGGATACATAAAAGTAATTTAGCGTTTAGAAAAAAAGCTAGTTTTTAACTTATAAACGATATTGAAAGACAGTTTTATATATACGAATATCAAAATTACAAGCCAAAATTTTGAATTATGTTCCTTCAACACCAGTTTTTCTACGAAATACGTATATGATGATTGAAATGTGCCTATTAGAAAATCGAGAATATCGAGGAAATCTTGTGAAATAGTTTGTTAATATTGAGTTAACTATAGGACATAATATATTATACATTGAAGAATACAGGTAGTTGCCGACGTTGCCGTTACTTTTGTTTGAAAGTACCATCAGTCAGCATTTAACAACAATATTACGTTATTATTAAATACCACAAAGTACATAATCTACTTTTATTGCAGACTTGCGGCATTTAACGTTTACTTTTTTTATTTAATTGTTTTACAAATTTCTCATTATTATTTATTTATGACTTATAATAAAACAAATAAAATCTACATTAAATGTAGGAGGTTGTAACAGTTTTTTTATTTATTAGTTTGACAATAATATTTTTATTGGATTTTATTAATCAACAATGTTTTTTATTGGTAGAAAATAAATTAACTTTGGAAAGACCATTTGTTCCGTGATAAATATTCATTGTGCACCCTTTTTTAAAGCAACTATACAAAGTGCAATGAAGATTTTAAAAGTTTTCTGGTCACCTTACATTTTCTCCCCCATCGTAAATGTCAATTTCCCATAATGACTTTTAACACGAACGTAAAATGTAAAGCCTTAATTGCATTATATTTTTTAAATTTAAAAAAACTTTTATATACCTACGTTTGAATAAAAAATAAATTTAGTGCTCCAGATAGGATTTTTACGGACACTCGATCAATTTATGCTCAAGAGTACTATGTAAATCTTCATTTCATCATAAAAAATATATAAAATATAAAATTAAGCACACTTTAGTTTTATAAGAATAGAAACGAAGAAATACTAATAAATAGTTCGAGCACAAGACACTCGTTATCCGTTGGGACTATATATAATTAATACATTACACATTTGTGATAAATGCTTAAAATGATTATATAACACAAAGAATATTCAACCACAACAATGTCTTTTTCCTACAATAATTGATAAAAGTTTCATATTCCGGTTTAAGTAGGTACAAGGTACACTGTTTTGTAACATTTTTGGGGGTCAGTTATAATACCGTTCAATCAAAACTTGTACACTACTACAGTTATAGCATTATAGACTATAGTGCATACCACATATATATACTATATAGAAATTAAATTACTCGTATTATTATTACTTGCAGCAAAAACCAAAACATTTTAGCGATGATTCAATTTTGGGGTTATTACAACCACAAGCGTTCGCTTAAATTTGTCCAAAGGGAACCTTTTTTTATGATTGGTAAACATATTTTGCCAGACCATAAAATACGTGGGTTTAGCCCAGCCTAAAAGTCGGATGGAAAACAGTAACCCCGTTCGTCCTTTCCTGTGAACGTTTTTTCACATTACACTTTTACACCTCATTCTACATTCATAATTACAAAACAAAAAAATGTATTCATAAAATATAGCCATTAAAATTTAGTACAATTATAATTAATTGTTGTCGAATAACTGTTTTACACACAGAAACAATGATTGTAGAAAAATTATGTTAAAAATTATAATATTTTTACTATATTCAGTCATAATTACAAGTATATATCTACCTACATTTGACTAATACACATTAATGTAGCGTACAACCACCAATACATGTAAGTGATTATTTAAATTTTAAACATATTATATATTATATGATGTGACCAATTGCGATTTGCGATGGATGGGTCATATAATTTAATTATAATTTTCTTTAAATATACATAGTCATGTTATCAAAACCCTACTGATTTAATAAATTAAAAAATGTACCTAACTCGTCAAAAATAATAGTACAATCGGTTAAAATTAAAACAATATAAGTACCTATACAGATTATAAAATATACAATGCTTTATTTACATATTCACGAAACCAAACTTTTCAATTGGCGATTAATATTTTCATGAAATGTAAATTCAGTCATTTAAACAACTAAAATCATATTAATATTCAAGAGTTAATATTATATACTCATTTAATTTAATTAATCAGCCACCGCTTACTGATGCTAAGTGCGTAACACGTATTTAGTGTGATACGCTACAAAATTACGATATTTTTCCAAATTGTATCTATTATAATAATATTTCAACAAATTGTAATTTGTAATAAACTGCTATAATACCACATAACTTACATCATATACAAAATGGATGAGAGCAATGAGCACGGCCATCACGAAAAATCATGTTTCACTTATGTTGCAACTGAAAAACCACCCTATTTGCAAATACAGTGGCGTATCCGAAAATCGACATTTTTTTTTATACAAATCTCGATACTAAGGGTTTCCTCTCCTCGCCCACATCGATCAACTTCTTAAATATTTATTTTTCTTATAGTTTATATAACCTCTATTAATCTATTCAACGATAATAATTTTACAATTGTATAATCAGACATAGGATTTCCAAAAGTGGAGATCATCCCTTGCTCGACGTCACCAATATAATATAATACGTGTATAACATAATATTAAAACGATAATATTTATTTCGTGTGTACGCATATATAGTTATTGATGTAAGTACCAATTTCGAAATTCTCAAAATGCCGAATATTAGGATTTCATAGATTCGAACTTCAGACATTTTTTTTATCAGGAGAAAAGGTAAATCGATTCCACCAATTTGAAATTGTATAAGTTTAACGGGACCTACAAGAAAGTATAAACTTCAAGAATAAATAATTACAAATCGTAACTTCATTAATCATTTTTCAATTAACATATATATATAATGAAAGACATTATTAGACACTAAAATTATTCAATATTTTGAAAAAATAATTTATAAAAATGTACATGCTTAGAGGTATACCGAATACGTATTATATTTAAACAATCGGAACACATTATTATTTTACACGTAAATTTCGGTTATAGGTACTTCATGTCTATTTTTATAGAGGGGCTTGGCTCCCATACAATTTTTTAGTCCTTCCTGGTTAAAATCCAAATCCTTACAAGCAAAAAAAACTGTCATGGCACATGGCTTCAATGCATAAAATAATTAATAATTCCCTAATAATTTATTATAATAGAATAACATATAATATTGTGGGTGTACCGTATACAGTTTATGCAAAAGTAGAACAATCAACACATGATCTGGATAACTAATAATATAGAAAGAGAATTATTTAAAAAGACTATTTCTAATGATATTTGATCATACAAACATTCACAAGTGTATATACAGTAATAAAATATACATTATACATGCTTGTTTTATTATTGACTTAAATGACAAGGAGGGGGGGGGGCGCATTTGCTCTATATCACTTTCATCTATCGGCAGGATTCTCAGCAGTCCTACGCAGTGCAAGTCTAGTACTTAGAGGGCTTTAGAACTTTGGTTTTCTATGATTCGAACCATATTATACTGATGTATATTATATTATTATAAGCATGGGTATGATAACATATAGATAGATACTATCCTATAATCTAGGTATTAGTATGGGTACTCACCATGGGCGTAGGGCGGCGGCGGTGGCGGCGGTAGCGGCGCCGGTTGTTCGTGTTTGCCGCTGATGTTATCTGAAGTGTCGGACGATGCACCGTTAGCCTGAGTCGGCGGCGGTGGCGCGGAAAACGCGCTGCTGTACGGAGTACCATGGTGGTGATGGTGGTGATGGCGTCGGTGATGCGACGGTGGAGGCGGCGGTAGCGGCTGCTGCGGTGGCGGATGGTGATCAGCGCCCGACGAACCGGGCGGCTGCATGCTGGACAGCGCGGTCAGAGGCGCGTACGATGGACGCGGAGCCGCTGGCTGCTGCTGCTGCTGAGACGGAATCGGTACTGACGATGTGGGTTGTTGTGTAAGCGTCTGTAAAATCAGACAAAAAAAAAATGTTTAAAAAACCCAACAATTTTGTTTCAACCATACGATTCGACAGCCGTCCATCAAACGACATTCGACCGTTTTTTCATTTATTTACCGATGCAAATTTAGAATAGAATCTTAGAGCTAAAGAACATAACAGTAAAAATTATGTTAAAATCAATATAGTGATAAGATAAGTGATAACATTTCATAAACGGGGACTTCAGGTTTAGTCCCCCGCAAAAGGAATGACAGATCTTCGTTCGCTATTCTCATATAATCACTCGTAAAATAGGACTGCTTCGCAAATAATTCAAGAAACAAAAAGAGATTAGATTTAAGTTTGTTTAATAGGACAGTTAAGTCGATTCGACCATCAACGAGTTTTGACAAAAACTATAGGTTTATCTGAACTCGGCTAGCGTGTACCGCCCTGGGTGGCAAGGTTCTGGGTTATAATCAATTAAATCAATCGATAGTCTAAAAGCTATAGACTTCAGAGACTTGTGTTGGACCCATTCAAGCTGATAGCTGTCTCTAGTGGTTGTTGGGCACCAAATTACAGCTCTATGTTAAGTATGGAACGTTACAGCGTTAGATCAAACCTGAACGTAAAAGAACTTTTGGGGAATTACAGATAGCTTGAAATCTATAGAAATTCTATAAGCAAGAACCCTATAGAATTATCTAAGCTTTACAAGAAATTTAGTTTAACTGAGCATTTAACCTAAGACATCGATCAAATGTTATATCTGAATAATGTACAGACTCGCAGGCAGATTCGGGGACACCGGATATAGAATGGTTGAAATTAACTACGATGAGAACAAGAAAGTAATAAAAATGTAATTGGGGATACAGAGATCTATTCCATAAGTTTCGACCCAAGTGGCCACAAGTAGAGATCCTCTTGAAGAAGAATACAATCCTGAGAGGCACTAATACGAAGCATCAACTTTTTATCATCGGCAAACTTGAGTAATTGGCAGCGTAATATAATACTTTTTACACTGTTTACTATGTTAAAGAGAAGAGGACCGGAAACAAATGCTCACCGGCCACCTTGAGGGACACCTGACATTATATTTACTGGTTCAGAGCAAACACCGTACATTTTTACATAACACTGCAGTATTCTATTTAATTTTTTTTAAAACTTTTATTTTACTAAAGTAATTCGCAAACAAAAAATTGTTTGTAGGTACAGAACACCGTGTACAGATACGCGCAGCGCGAGTGTAGCTGATAAACGTTTTACGTCGGAAAATATAATATTACACATCTATACACATGTATAGGTACTGTACATACTATTATAAACATCTGACGACAGACGACGCATATAAAGAATAGTAAGTTTATATTAAAATACGATGACATAAGACATGAGTGTGTGAATTGGTAGGTATCTCCTATATGAATAAATATAATGAATAAATAAATAAAAACGGAGATTTATATTTGAGTTGCCGGAATATTGTTTTAAAATGTTACGTGTGTGCTTATTTACTTGTGATAAAATTAAAAATGAATTATTTTATTTAATCTTTGTCATTTTATCCATTACCGTGCGGGCACTTACATTAATATATTCACATGATAAAATAACTTTATTCAATGATAAAAATAATATTCTATAGTTTCGTTTGAACTACAGGAGAGCACTTTTTACTTTTTAGGTATTTTTTTATACCGAAGTTTACCTTTTTGCATTTTAAGTATCAAAACCTTGAAGTTCCAAACAAATAAACAAAGTACAAAACTTGATTTATAATTATGCATTTGTGTAGTTGAGACATATTTACTAGTATGTTAACATTATGTAAACATTTATACAAAAGTTTATGATTTTGAACGTGGTTTATGATTGTGTACAAAATCCATATTTTGTTATAAAAATAAATAATTATATATTTATTAAATGGTCAATTAATTTACTAAAATTCCAACTATTTCTAACTGAAAAAAAAAAAAAAAATGATTTCATGATGACGAGTAATTTTTGCTTGGATCCGGGTATATAGAGAATATTAAAATTAAATATCTTAGAAAAATAACTTTTTGAATTTAACATAATTAAATATTTTACGAACCATTTGTTTTAGGTAAATAAAGTTGTATTGAGAATTGTCAATATAAACAATTAAAAAATGCATACCTAACCTATGATGCTAATATTTATTTAAAACAGCATATTATTTAAAATAAATCTTAAAATTGTATTGAGATAAGTGATTCAAATAAAAAATATGAGCGAGCAGTGACGCGGGGTGAACCGAACTGTAAACCATTTATGATGTATACATCCATAATATATCAAACATAATATTTATTTGACAACGATAAACAACATTATCACTGAACGGTTTGACCTTTTCGACATTCAACACAATCACATCATAAATGTAAAAACCATAAGGTAATAAAATTAAATTCCCAAATGTTAAGTATGTTATTCGAATGACGCATGCTACGATAGTATGACTTGGACCTAAAATAGGTGGTAACGTGCGTAGTTTCCCAATAAAACATGACATTTTGTAAATAGTAAATACACAAAAATAAAATGTTAGCATTAAAATAAATTTACATATTATATTATTATTAAACTGTAGTAAAAGTTATAAAATCAAATTTTAAAGTCACATATACTATTATTTTATTACTACTACACTATTATATTAAAATACACCTAATATATAGTGTAGAATTGTGTGTCGCGTTTTACCATTTATTTTCAACACAAATTAAAATATAATGTCGATAAATTAACAAACGTTAAATTAATAATCATGTCTAGTAAAAATATAATATATCATTATATCAATTAAACAATTATCGATTGATTATTATAACAATAATTGTTATTTATCACATAATCGCTGCAGCGTAGAACACATTTGTTGTATATAATTATGAATGAACACAATATATACACAAAATGAATGACGAGAAGATTATTCAAATAAGTTTCGTCATCCGCGTATTACTTTTTGTGAAATGTGGAAGGATGAAGATATTATACCTACAGGCTACAGGATTTTAAAAACCTTGCCAAAAGTTGTTTAATAATGTAGCGATTGCTTAATGTCATCAGCCTCTACCAAAAAGTTAATTATTTTTTAACAAAATTATTTTCGTAGAAGCTTGATTGTTCAATTCAGATTTCACGTCATGTACTTCACGTGTATGTACAACATAAATGATACAATGTGTAAGTAGTGTGTCTGATACACTGCAGTTATAGTCAAAGTGACTAAAAAATGTAAAAATGATTTAATAATTTAATAATAGCTGTAATGTATTGTGATTAAATAATAAATACATTAAACAGCTGCGTGGTAAATCGTATTTACAGAGATTACTATGAAAATAAATAAACATAATACAGAGCTTATTGGATTCAATGGCAGTACGTTTATTGAATTTTTACAACATTTAATTTAAAAGTGGAAAAACGAAAACGATGTCTTAACGTCACTAAACAAATTGAAAGACAGACGAAAAGTAAACGGAAACAATGGCGCGCTTCTCCTTAAAACGTTTAGCTATATACCTATATATATTCTCGGAAAATAGCGGCACACGTCGTTTCACCCCATTTTCATTGCCGGCAACGAACCCCCTCGCATTCGCTCGTCCGATCCTTTCGGCGAGTGCCTTATGCCGTACAAATCGATTTTCTGTCGTCTCTAAGCCAAACTTATCGGTGGATAGGTATAAAACGTCAATGCGAGGTCGATTGACCAGTGTGGTTTTTGTTAGTCGTATAATGCACAATGTGTTCACTACGTTACATCATTCTACAGACCCACAGACACACACGTGCGTTGTTAAAATAGAGGGTAGGAAATCAAATGACACACATATTACCAAATACCCATAATATATTATTGATTTCGTATACATACAAACACGACGTGTCGTAACATGTAAACGCGTACAAAACAAGCGATCCCAGTCGGACTCTGTAGCGGGCAAGCGGAAAAAGATACGACCCTATAATATAATAATACCAAACATCTATGGTACATTTTTAAGCGAAACCACGAAAATGTGTAACCGAACCCTTTCAAAATTCCAAACCAATTAATTTGTCGCATTTTGTGCGACACCGTGTACTCGCGTGTCTAAAAGTCCCCCTCCTATGTATTTAATTACCCGTCCAAACTCATAAGGGCGTAATTAAGGTTATGGTCGATTTTAATGCACTACAACACTAAACCTTTCAATATGTATTATATTATAATATTATAACAACTTTGTAAGCCTAATCGGATTTCATTTGAAATATGGATATATGTCTTAAAATGTGGCGGGTGCCAATTATTTAAATTCAGTAAAGAAAATGTAAAGGTACAATCACAACTACGAATTCTCTCAAATGAGAATTAAATAAAATATAAAATTAATATAATATAACCAGACAAAGTCAAAGAAATACTCACCAATTGGTAAAAATATAGCTCGTTATCGATAATCCTAATATTTCAGATCCTAAACGGAGAGCTGAATGTACTAATTTTACTATGTGTTTTCTTTTGTCTGAAGAAAAATGATTAGATTTTCCACATCAGCACCCTCTAATTTTTTAGTAGCTATAATTAAATCTAGTAGTTTCTTTGATGGGTCAAAAGTGAAAATTCAATTTTTAACAAAATCGTGTAGCTAACGCAAATACGAATAACCATAGATACTTGAAATATTTACTAAATGTTTATATTAGGATTTTCTATATTATATTAACTAACTTTTAAAATATTCTGACCATTTTCAAACTATTTATAGACATTTTAAATTGTTTAGTTTTGTTTCCACAAATATCGATCAAAAAACTTAACAATTTAGTACAAGAATCCTCATTCGTTTTAGTTAGAGGCATTTAAAAATATTCGACATAAATGGCCACCATTTTTTTTTCATAAACATTTTCAGAAGTTCAAATTTTGACGAAAAGTCACAGGCTATTTTGTAGTCAAAATTTGACGATGTAACCAATTTTA